CCCTCTCCCCGCTCGTCCTCGCTCTCACCCCCTCTCCTTTCCATCAAAAAAAAAAAGAACAAAAATACCTCAAGTGAGAAGTGATGGAGAAGGATTTTAGTAAAATGAAGATTTTCCCAACTCAAGAACAACATCGTATCCACAGCCACTCCATGATCACTAGGTAGATCGACGAGCTGTTTCAAAAATCTGCAATTTAGTAAAAATTTTACGTTAGCCCATGCCATTTGACTGACTAATGCTGTAAATTCTAGCAGCGTGAAAGCACGAAAATCTATCAAAAATGTCAAATTGCAAAGAAATTTGGCAATTGAAAAACCTTTTAACAAGAACCGGCTCGTTGGTCCAATCGATAACATTTGCCGGCGCAAGAATCAAGTCGGTATCAGTAATAGCATACGGATTTGTGCCCATTTCCTACGATACAAGAGAATTAGATAGTCAATTTGCAGCAAGCTAAGGGTTTTAACTTCCTGTCATGCCCTTGCACCAATTCAAACATCGAAGCAAATCAACAAAACGCAGAGAGGCTGGTTCCCCTTCTCCCTCTCCTTCCCCCTTTCTCTCCCTCCCACAGCCGCCCCTCCCCTCCCCCTTTCAAAAATATATTCATGCTACTGATTTAAATCTGGAAGTAGTCTGTTTGTCGGATTTAATCGAAAGAAAACAATGTTTGAAACTTACCTCTGTTTGCCACTCAAATCGACAGGATCTCAGGAGCAGCGAAATTACTTCATACAACTTTGAATTATCCTGATAAATTACTTTTAAACGATAATCCTCCACCGAAATCAACATCATCAATGCAGTGAGGGCACCCTTTCGCACCAGTTGCTTCCTCTACAAAAACACCCATCGAAATCACGGAAAAGAAAGTACAAATTATGAAGATCCCTTACGAAAGTACTATTTTCATCCATCATTTTGCTGCAGCAGCAGCAGCAATCAAAATAATTCTATTCGGCCAATTCAATGGCAATGAAGTGCACTAAAAATGTATTGGGACGAATCAATCAAGGAAGTAATTTTTCGCAAAAATTCAAAAAAACTCTTACCTGTTCGAGACCAGATTGCGCGTAAAGACTAAACAAAACAATATACTGAGTAGGATGAGAGCAGAATTCGTGGAAATGACTGCGCGGAATGATTAGTAGCAGCGAGATAAGCATGTCCGATACCGTATCACCCATCGCTTGAAGTGCATCAAAATTAAATTCTGGACATTCATCTGAAAAAAAAAAAATTCAATGAAACGAATGGAAATTAAAGAATGCAACAAGTAGAGAAGCAGAAAACCCGCGATTTGCGAAGAATCAACAAAACGCCAAAATGCCGTAGATCCGCCTCAGCAGAGTGTCATGCGTGAACTCACTAAGGGAACTCACTCCACTACGGGAACTGAACTCACCCGCTTCTTAGAAATTGCTCAGACCACTGGAAAAATTCTCAATTTTTTCAATTTTAGATAAAAACACAATTATTTAGACCATGCCTCCATCCGATAAAAGAGAAATACTATATATGTCCATGCAAAAGCAGCCTCTACATGAATGGGGAACCAGACTACAGTTTTCAGATACGTAGGTCCGATCTAGGCACAATTTATTTCTTTTTTAAAAATTCTGTTGCCAAAAACAGTGATACGAACCCAAAGGCCAGTCAGTGGCTCTGTTTAAAGACAATGGCACTCGGTAGTATTTTCAAACTGAAATGCTGCAAACTAACCATAATACCCCCAAATAATGTAAAGAAAGTTTCAGAACTTTAGATAAGTGCTCTACGTCAAATTTAGAAGGAATAAACAAAGCTTACCTATAAATGGCTGTAAATCACTGATTAAATCATTTCGAGTTGCATTCAAAAGCAGTGCGAAAACATTTGTAAAGAAATATCGCACCTAAATTTATGCATTTTCTTTTGGGTAAAATGAATTTTTTCTTAAAAAAAAATATTCCAAAATTATAAAATAATCTGGAAAGGAAAACCAAGACCAAGATCGGCTGAAAAATCGATATCGAGGTCCCGCTTTAGTGATTTTATTGGATGAAGCAATGCCAGACTTTCCGATCTTGAGCTGCATCCCCCGCCTTCCCCCCCCCCTTCCCGCCCCCTCGTCCTCCGCTATACGAGAATCAGTCTTCAGAAGCAGTACAAGTGGTCATTCGCTTCTTCGTCGGTATCATTCACTAATATGCTGTGTCCACAGGCTGTCAGTAGGGTAAGGGACATGCCCTGCCCGACGGATCTTAACTCCTCGGGTAGTTGTAATAAATATCTCGCACGCCGCACATCCAACGAAGACTTCGGCTGCTCATAGGATCAAAAAGTTTATTTAAAGTTGCTGCAAACAAGTGGATGGTTTACCTCTGGAGCAGGTGCATTTAAAAGATACGAAACAATCGTTTTTGATTGAAACAATATATTACAAATGAACCACCCGCGTGCCGATTTCGATGATTTCAACAGTGCTTCCAGTGCCTTCTGCCATTCCGCCACATAACCCGAGCTACAACGCATAATCTTGAAAAAATAAAAAAAAAATGCTCCCTTACTAACAATATTGACTATTTTTTTGATCAGCAAAGATTTCGATGGCGATAAAGAACAACTGTCTATCGCAAAAATCAAAGGAAGGCCGGGGGAAACTGGAAAAGGTGCGTTGTTTGCGGTAGCAAAGATAGAAACTGGTGTGTATTTTAGTGCCAAACATCAGATTAAGTTGCAAATGCAAGATGCGGAGCACAAAACGGCTGATTTCTAAAATGGCTTGAAACGTAAAATGTAAAATTCGAAGAGTCCGAAGATGGTGAAACAGAGTTTGAACCTCTCCGACCCATGCCTTTCGCTAGAAAAAAAATCCAACCATGGCACTGCTCATACGAAAATTAGGGTTACAGAACCGCCTTATTTTGCATCATTTTTTTCAGCAAATCTAATGAAAACAACTTACCGCAATGTTTTCTTTGCTCGTAAACCCGTAGTAAATAAAAATTTGCTGAGCAATTTTGTCGTTAATACAGCATACTCGCTAAAAAAAAAAATTAAAGATATAATTCAAGGAATGAAAATCAAGTGTCAATTCCAACAAAAACATCTGGCAATTCCGAACTCTCGTCAACATTTGTGCATGTAGCTTCCAGCCCACAAATCGGTTATCAAAAAACTGAAGTGTAACCAAACTGAGTGGGGCGAAACACTTACTCAATGTTATTGTCGTCTAACTGCTGAATCACTTGAACTGATCGTACGCAGATATCTCTAATAAATTGAAAATAATGCACCGTGTACCTGCAAATATACTGTTAGCAACAAATCACTAAAATAACTCGGCAAACATTAAAATTCGATGCTAGTGCTGTTG